GCTGTTTTTTTTTTTTTTTTTTAAGTGAGATTTTTGCTATAGGGTATGTACACTCAATGGAGAGAAAGCAAGAATTCACCTTGCCCCAGGGGGAATGACCAAGCTGCAATCCCTTCTCCTTCATTCTTCTCTTGGGATCTTGGGCACGCACACATATGCACCTGGTGTGAGGTTTAAGCCACCAGTTCTGGAACTCCAACCATGGGAGTCCAGCGACATAACCATTATGCCATCTACCGGTCCTGTGACTGTCTTAACTACAGCATTTGTAGCAAATTGCTTTGGACAAATTGGCATGGTCTAAGGACTTGGGAGAATCAGTTCTCTAACTTTAAGGGCCTTCAGATCCCATCACCTCCTTCTCTTTAGCTTCTTCCTGCTCTAGAATGGACAGCTTGGAAGTCCCAACAGCTAAAGCAACAGGGAACTGAGGCTGAGGTGAACTGGGATCTGGCTCCCTTTGATGCTATGCCATGGAGTCGGCTCAACTCCAATTTTTACATTCTCAGTAGACTTAAAGGCATTTGGAAAAATGTAGCTATTGTCTTTGATTGAAAAATATTACTAGAACAGGAGTGCTCCAAGATTTTCTCCTTTTTTTTTTTTTGTGGCATTTTTTCATTATTTATTTATTTATTTTTTGGAGAGGTTTTTGCTATAGGGCACATGTGCTCACCAGAAAGACAGAGAGAGACAGAGAGATGGAAAGTGAGAAATCACCCCCCAGAGGGGATGGAGGAGAAGGGATTGCAGCATGGCCATCCCCCCTGGGGGGTGATGTCTCGCTTTCTGTCTCTCTGTCTCTTTCTTTCTTTCTGGTGAGCGCACGCGCCCTATAGCAAAAACCTCTCCCCAAAAAAGAACATCTGTGATTCATGGGAGTGGAATGTCAAAATGTCAGCATTAATAGGAGTTTGGGGACTAGCATATGGTGTAATGGTTACATTGGTGGACTCCCACATAGTCGACCAAGGTTTGAGTCCTGGACCCAGTGGCTTGAAACTCACACCAGGCACGTGTGTGTGCATGCCCAAAATCCTGAGAGGAGAATGGAGGAAAAGGTATTGCATCATGGCCATCTCCCCATCTCCTCATCTCATCTCTCCATTTCTTGTGTTCTATTGCCCTGTCTCTCAGGTGAGTGCACACACCTTATAGCAAAAAAAAAAAAAAAAAAAAACTCTTAAAAAAAATTGCATGGTGGTTAAGGTGCTAGATTCCCATATCCAGACCATGGTTCAAGTCGTGAACCGGGTGGCTTGCTTTCTCACTTTCCCTCTCTCTCTCTCTGTCTGGAAGAAGTTGATTCCATCTCACAGATGACTGAGGGGTTTAAGAGTTCAGTGGAGATAGTAAATGCAGGTGTGGTGGAAACAAGAGAACTAGAATTAGGAGTAGAGTCTAAAGATGTGACTAAATCATGACAGAAATATAATGGATGAGGCCAACAGTTGATATGGTGGTTAAGGGTGCTGGACTCTCACATGGCTGACTGTGGTTCAAGTCCCAGACCTGGAGGCTTGCTTTCCCACTTTTTCTCTCTCTCTCTCTGCG